ATGTTGACCAGGATGGTCTCGATCTCTTGACCTCGTGATCCACCCGCCTCGGCCTCCCAAAGTGCTGGGATTACAGGCGTGAGCCACCGTGCCCGGCCTATTCCTTTATTCTTAATAAAAATACATACATACATACATAAATGAGGCTGGGCATGGTGGCTCATGCCTGCAATCCCAGCACTTTGGGAGGCCACGAGGCAGGAGGATTGCTTGAGGCTTGGAGTTGAAGACCAGCCTGGGAAAAGCAGGGAGACCCCATCTCCACAAAGACATTTAAAAAAGAAAGAGAAGGTGGATGAATGAATAGATGGGTCCTGTGGTAAATTGGCTCAGCTTTCTTCCTGCAATTTAATCAGCTTAATTGTATCTCTTGCTAGACTGAAAACCCTGAACAGAACCTTCCTCAGTCATCCCTGGGTCCCAGCACCAAACACAGGGCTCAGCTCACTGTATAGGCAATACACACTTACTGAAAGGATGGAGTGATAGCAGATGGGGTTCTGGAGGTCAGGACTCAGCCTGAAGTGGGCTGCACATAGGGTGCCTGCAGGCAGGAACCTCCAGCAGAGAGGCAGGGGGAGGAGTGTCACCTACAGAGCTGCTTGTATTTAAGGTGGACCAAAGGATTTCCCCAACCCAAATTTCTTATGTATGGAAGTAGGCAGTTCCCAGTTTCACACCCACTTTCTGGCCCTTCCACCAGGGTATAGGGGAGGAGATTGTTATTTTTCTTTCTTGCTTTTATTTTTGAGAAGGAGTTTCGCTCTTTTCACCCATGCTGTAGTGCAATGGCGCGATCTCTGCTCCCTGCAACATCTGCCTCCCGGGTTCAAGCAATTCTCTTGCCTCAGCCTCCTGAATAGCTGGGATTACAGGCACCCGCCATCATGCCCAGCTAATTTTTGTATTTTTAGTAGAGATGGGGTTTCACCATATTGGCCCAGATAGTCTTGATCTCCTAACCTCATGATCTGCCCACCTCGGCCTCCCAAAGTACTGGAATTACAGGCGTGAACCACCGTGCCCTGTCAATTTTGTGTATTTTTGTAGAAACGGGGTTTCACTATGTTAGCCAGGCTGGTCTGGAACTCCTGACCTCTGCAAGTGCTGAGATTACAGGCGGATGCCACTGCAACTGGCCTTTCTTTCCTTTTAAAGTCAGCAGTAGTGCTAGCACCTCAGGGCTTAAAAAACCAAACAAACAGGCCGGGCGCGGTGGCTCACGCCTGTAATCCCAGCACTTTGGGAGGCCGAGATGGGTGGATCACGAGGTCAAGAGATCGAGACCATCCTGGTCAACATGGTGAAACCCCGTCTCTACTAAAAATACAAAAAATTAGCTGGGCATGGTGGCCTGTGCCTGTAATCCCAGCTATGCAGGAGGCTGAGGCAGGAGAATTGCCTGAACCCAGGAGGCGGAGGTTGCGGTGAGCCGAGATCGCGCCATTGCACTCCAGCCTGGGTAACAAGAGTGAAACTCCTTCTCAAAAACAAAACAAAACAAAAAAAACCAAACAAACAAAAATATTGGGTGTCTCCTGCAACCTAGGCACAGGGTTAAGGACCTTAGGTGAGATTATTGTCCCCATTTCACAGATGGTGAAATGGAGATTTGTTTATTACAGTCTCTGGCCAGAGACCTCGCTAAGAGACACTGGCAATATGAGGGAAAATTCCTGTGAAACTGTGATCCCTTCCTCTGAAGGCCTCCTTAACAGCTGTCCAGCCGGCGGCGTCCACAGCAGCCTTCCAGACAGTTCCAGTCCCTTTCGAAGCCCTAGGCTGCCCGTCCGGAGGCTCCCAGAGTCAGGCCTTCTGCTGGGCCCCGGGTCTCTCAGTGGCATAATGGAGTTCTCCGAGATGACGCTGTGTGTCCCTGGCCACCACCTGCTGCTGGGGTGGGGGGGGTGTCGTCTCGGGACCTGTGGCTGCTGTTGCGTAGCATCAAGAAGCCACGAGACGTGGCGGGGGCGTCCCCGGAGTTGCGGAGCGCGCGGCTCTGAGAGGTAGGGGAAACTGCCAGCGCAGTCGGAACTGGCGCCCTCTGGCGTAATGCCCAATTCGAGAAACACTTGCCCCTCTCCTGGGAGGGGACAACGAGTCCCAGAGAGGGCCAGCAAGTTTCGTTGTCCCAAGAGAGGGGCTACCCGTTTCCCGGATTGGGCGTTACGCAGTAGGGCACCATCACCCTGCGTTATGCAGGAGGGTACCATCCTCCCCTTAGCGAGGGACACTAAGCCTGGGCCCGTCCCTCCCAGGGTTGCGTGTGACTCTGGCACCATCACCCTACGCTGTAAGGACCTGCGGGTGCTGCAGCTGGAAATAGAGGACGGGGAAGCGACGCTGGACATCGCCCGCTCCATCGAGGTGTGCCGAGGGCGCGCCCGAGCCCTTGAAACTATCCCTGTCTCGCGTGGAGGGGAATAAAAAGGCGCTACTGTTCAAAGAGGCTCCGCAGCCGCAGCTAAATGGCAGGGGCTGCAGGGTTGTCCGGGCTATGTGGAGAGGCCAAAGCTGAAGCTACAGGGGCTGAGGGGCTGGAAAGGGCGTGGACCAGACGATTCCGACCCTCCCCAGAGCCCCTGACTTCCTTCTCCAGGTGCTGTCTTCCCTGGAATTGCCCATCACCTCCTGCCCGTTCTACCATCCCAAAGGCCTGAGATTGAACGACTCCTGGCACTTCCTCTCGCCCGAACGCTACAAGCTAGTAGCTCTTGAGGTGAACGCAGTCGTGGAGGCCCGGGGAGGTGGAAGCTGGGCCCGAAAGAGGCGCGGGAAGAGCACTCCTTGGGTGCCCCAGACCTGGCCTCTCTCCTCCCTGCTCCGCAGACCGACGCGTGACGGCTGAGCAAGGTGAACGAGGACTTCAGCTCTGCCCCAGTTACCCCGTGCCGTGATTGTCCCACGCTTGGTGGACAATGATGACCTGACGCATAGCGCCCGCTTCCGCCAAGGAGGCCGCTTCCCGGTGCTCAGCTACCACCACGCTCCCAGCGGAACCTTGAGTGTGCCCTCCCCACGCTCCGCCCCTGAGTGGCTCTTTTCTGGATCTTTTCTTTTTGGCCAGGCCAATTCGCTGCCTGGCCTCGCCCCGACTCCCGGCCCATTCTGGCCCCGCCCCTCTCCCGCCTTTTCAGAGGGAGGGGGTATCACCTTTCTTGGGCCCCGCCCCTGGCGGTTCTGGGCCCTGTGCGAAGCCCAGTGCCTTCTTTGTCAAGCCAGGACCCGCCCACGGTCTATTCATAGGGTCCCAATCCACTGTGGCCACAACACCCCCAGACTGGTTTGAAGCCTCGTGAGTTCTGGCCTGGTTGCTGGGCTCCAGCCTGTCGGTGTGCAGACCAGGCCTAGGGGACCCCCTGAGGCATGGGGGGCCACTTCCAGAGCTGAATCCCATCCGCAGGTTCCTCTATGCTCCAACCAGCCTCTGACCGGTCCCCAGAAGCTGCCCAGCGAGGAGGACCAGGAGCTGCTGCGAGCTATGCTAGCCGGGCTTGCCCTAGTTCGCGGGGCTTCATCGTGGACACGCACTCAGCCCAGGCCTCAAAACAGGCCCGCGTAACTGGCGGAGGCACTTAGGCCAAGGCCGCTTACCCTGCAGGAAAGGGTTGCACCGGCCCCCTGGAGAGGTAAGGGACCACCCACCCTCTCCCAGGTCCTCTCCTGCAGGGCTCTGTGAATGTACATGTGTGAGTGTGTGTTGGGGTGAGGGGATCCGCTAGGAACCTTGAAGACTGAAGCCTTTCCTGGTGTCATCCCTCCATGTGGGCCTCCCCACTTGCACACCACCACTGAGAGAACTCCTTACTCTCTAGGCACCCCAACTTTGCCTGGGAAGAAAAAGCATCTCTTTGCATTAAACTGAAATTTGTCTTCCTGGAACAGCCTCTGCCTACACACATGCACCCCCTCCCTGAGTTCTGCACCTGCACAGATATAATCTGGTCCCTCTGTCTCCAGGTGATGGCAATGCCAAGAAGTCCTGAGGGAGTTTGTGGTTTGAGGAGAGTAGGCTGCTTCCCTATCCAAAATACACAACTCTGTGTATTCATTCATTCACCCAGCACTGAGCCCAGGGGCTGCCATGGTGGCCAGCACAGATATGACCAAGACCAGCGGAGAACGGTCGGTCAAGATCCCCTGAGATGAGCAGCAGCACACAGGAGGTGCCCTTCTCTTACTAAGGCGACTTCAGGTAATCAGAGGTTTCCCTGAATATAGGATGTTTTAGCTGAGACTGAAAAGTGTAGGAGGAGTGAGCCAGAAGAAGGAAGACAGGCCCTGCATGTGGAGGGAACTGCAGCTGTCCAGGTGCAGAGACAGCCTGGTCATTTGTCCTGTTTGGGAGAAACAGTTTCTGTAAAAAATACGAAAATCAGCTGTGCATAGTGCTGCACACCTGTAGTCCCAGCTACTCAAGAGGCTGAGGTGGGAGATCACCTGAGCCCTGGGAGGTAGAGGCTGCAGTGAGCTGTGATCACACCACTGTACTCCAGGCTGGCTGACACAATGAGACCTTGTTTAAAAAAAAAATAGTTGTGTGACCGTGGTCTCTTTCTCAAGATATCTTATTTTACTCATCCTTCTTGTGATGAGGTGAGATGCTTAAATGCCCATGTGATGAGATGTGGTGAGTGACATTGGCCTTGTAATGCAGCCATAGGCTCCTATTGACCTTGAACGCAAGCCCACTACAGTGCTGCCACGGTCGCTCTCATAACCAAGACAGCTACTATGTGACTAACGGGCAGTGAGTGTGTGCAGCATGGATATGCTGGACAGAGGGAGAATTCCCACCCAGTGGGACAGAGCAGGGTAACTCAAGATTTCATCATGACATTCAGAAGGGCTTACAATTTAAAATTTATGAATTATTTCTGGAATTTTCCATGTAATATTTTCAGGCCACAGTTGACCATGGGTAACTGAAACCTCAGAAAGTGAAACCATGGATGGAGGCAACTAATGTCCTTCAGTATGGTGGGAGTGTCGAGTATGAAGTGGGAGGACAAATGAGGCTGTGGGGATCACGGGGAAGAACAGAGTTCTGGAAGGCCATGGTTATGAGCTTAGACTTTATCCTCAAGGTGGCACGGAGCCATTGAAGGTTTTCGTTTTGTTTTGTTTTTTTGAGATAGCGTCTCACTCTTGTTACTCAGGCTGGAGTGCAATGGTGCCATCTCGGCTCACTGCAGCCTCTGCCTCGAGGGGCGAGTTCAAGTGATTCTTCTGCCTCAGCCTCCCTAGTAGCTGGGATTACAGGCATGTGCCACCGTGCCCAGCTAATTTTTGTATTTTTAGTAGAGACGAGGTTTCTTCATGTTGGTCAGGCTGGTCTCGAACTCCCAACCTCAGGTGATCTGCCCGCCTCAGCCTCCCAAAGTGCTGGGATTACAGCTGTGAGTCACCGCACCCGGCTCCACTAAAGGCTTTTAAACAGGGCTGAAAAATCTCCATTAGATTTTCTGGTGGGAGGTCACTAGTGACCTTGAGCAGAGCAGTTTCTGGGAGGTAGGAGCAGAGGCAGAATTCCAAGAGGACTGCGTTTCTCTCATCAGACTGGGGGTCCCTGGGGAGCACTCTGTTTCTCCCAACAGACTTGGGTATTTCAAGGGCACTGTGATACTCCCATCACATTGGTGGTTTCCCAGGGCATTCTGTGTTTCCCCAGAGGGCTATGCGACCCCTCCCCAGGTGCTTTCTCAAAGGGTCTTGGGTCTCTCCCATCAGATTGAGGAATCCTCAAAGCTAAGAAACCATTTCATCCACAGAATGAGACCCTGTCTCAAAGATTAGAAGCTCCTCCGTAGGTTGTGTGTGCTGTGAGACTGGGTTCCCCAAGGGGCTCTGTGTCCCTTTTATCAGATGGGCTTTTTTTTTTTTTT